AACTTTTTCAACCTGCAAAACTGAAACTCTACACTCCTTAAACAACAACTTCTCATATGCTCTTCCCCCTAACCTCTGGCAACCACAATGCTACATTCTGTTTCTATGAATCGACTACACTAGATACCTCATATAAATGGAATCATACAATGTTTGTCCTTCTGTGTTTGGTTTATTTCACTTAGCTTAATGTCTTGAAGGTTCATCCATGTCATAGCATGTGTCAGAATTTCTTTCCTTTTTAAAAATGAATTATTTCCACTGTATGGGTAGACACATTTTGTTTAAACATTAGATTGTTGGACACTCACGTTACTTCCACCTTTTGGCTATTGTGAATAATGCTGCTATGAACGTGGGTATACAAACATCTCTTCAAGACCGTACTTTCAGTTCTTTGGGGTATATACCCATAAGTGGAATTGTTCTATTTTTTACTTTTTGAGGAAACTCCATACTGTTTTCCATAGAAGCTGTACTATTTCATATTCCCCAAAACAGAGCACTAGGCTTCCAATTTCTCCACATTCTTGCCAACACTTTTTGTTTTCTCTTTTGTTTGGTTTTTGTTATTTTAGGAGTAGCAATCCTGATGGGTATGAAGTGATATCTCACTGTGGTTTTGATTTACATTTATCTAATTAGTGATATTGAGCATCTTTTCATATGATTGTTGGCCATCCTATCTCCCTTTTATAAAGACCCTTGTCATTATATTGGGCCCACCTGAAAAATCCAGAATAATCTCCCCATTTTAAGATCTTAACTTAATCCCATCTGCAACGTTCCTTTTGCTACGTAAGGTAACATACACAGGTTCCACACATTAGAACACAGATAACTCTGTGGGGCAAAAGGTGTCATTATTCTGTCTACCACAGGTGACTACTTTACTGCCAAAGCCAAAAGAATAAAAATTCTGAAGAATGGATGTTTGGCTGATGATTTCAAATACAAAAAAAGAAGAATTTTATGATCAGTGACATTTGAGACAGCTTTTAGTAAAGTGGCAGGACTGTAACTCAGAATAAGTTATATTTTTTATGTTAACTACTAATCTGAAATTGTATTTACATATATCTGTTTCTTCCCAAAGGAGCTATTTTGTTTAAATTACCCAGAGTTCTCATAAGTTTAGGTTAAAGTGAAAACCATACAGTCCTAGGCTAGTATGTCAGCTCTACTCTACACAGCATTCAGGATCCAGGTTCCTTTCCCTAGGATAGAATCCTGGTCCTTGTGGTCCAGGCAACAACCACTTTGCAGGAAGCAGGATGGTGGGGACGGGGTGGGCAGCTAATGCATGTCATGTCAATATAAAGCAAGGGAAAAGATAAAGGGGTTATTGTAAGAAGTTACATGGGTCTAAACTATAGTGTTAGGTGTGAGGACAGGTCACTTGTATGTAGAGTCCAAAGGATACTTGCAGCAATTGACAAAGTCATGGGGGATTGGGGGATTGTGGTCCATTAACAGCCACGAGAAGGAAGTGACAATCCTAGGCCTAAGGAAATTGTTGTTTGTCTCTGCTGTTGAGAGAGGAAATGTGGGTTCTGTTTAGGACAAACTGAGCTTCAAGATTCAGAGTTTTATCCAGGTATAGGTGTCCATCAGACCCTGGAAAAGAAGAAAGATTGTTTTTCATCCAACACAGGAGAAAGTGCCAAGAAAATAGGTGATGTAGGAAAAAACATCAAGTAGAGAAACTTTGAAGTAGCTCATTTCCAACAGTCTTCACCTGACTTTAAATTATGAGACATGAGTATCTGCAGAGTGAGACAGGTGGGTGGAGGCCCACATGTTTCAAGCTTGGGAAGCAAGGAGGTTTCATAGGCCATGGGAAGTGTGGGGAGGCTCATAGCTGATTGCACATGAAGCACCCACTTGAAAGGTGGTCTTACTGGAATTTGTTTGACAGAAATATTCACACATGTACTCAAAGATATATGTACAAGGATATTTAAACAGAAATAAAAGGCAAAATGACTAGAAAGACGTAGGCAAAATTATGATCATTTGCAGGCAGAGGAATTTTCTATCCAGAAAATTCAGGAAAGTAAACTATAAAATCGTTATCTTTCCTACAAAATAACAAACAACCAGTTAGAGTTATATGATAGAAGTTTCTATTCACAGTAACCCCCTGTATTAGTTTGCTAGGGCTGCCACAATGAAATACCACAGACTGTGTGGCTTAAGTAACAGAAATTGATTTCTCACAGTTCTGTAGGCTGGAATTCCAAGATCAAGGAGTCAGCAGGTTTGGTTTCTAGAGAGGCCTCTCTCCTTGGTTTGCAGGTGGACATCTTTTGTCTGTGCACACACATCCCTTGTATATCCCAACCTCCTCTTTTTACAAGGATGCCAGTCAGATTATTCTAGGGCCCAACCCTAAGAACCTCATTTCAATTTAATCACCTCTTTGAAAGGCTTATCTCAATATACAGTCACATTCTGAGGTACTGGGACTTAGGACTGCAACATACGAATCAGGGGGGCATAACTCAGTCCATAATATCCCCAGAAAATATACAATACCTAAATATAACTCTAAGAAGATAGGAGCAACCTAAAGGAAGACAGATATATCATGACATTTCACTGGAAGACATAAAATAACACTTGAATAAATGGAGAAACATACCATATTCTTGGTGGGAAAGTCTCAATATTATAAAGTGCAAATTTATTCCAAATTAAATTAATAGGTATAACACAAATCAAACAAGATATCAAATCTCTCAAACTTTCTTTTTATTTCTCTTCCATATTTGTTATATTATCTTCAACAGTAAATTCTTTATTTCTAATGGGCATGCCACCATCAGCCCAGACCCATCAGCTTTCACCCCAAATCAACTTTCTCAACCACCCTATACCTAGCAATAGGAAGTCATCACCCTACCAATCACCTAGGATAAAACCTCTGGTTTATCTTTGAAAATTCTCTCCTCTTAGTCCACCTACATACAATTAGTCAGATCTGTATAGCCATTCTTGTTAATGTTAAACCTACCCCTTCCATTCCATTCCTATCTGCCCACCTTTCCTCATATGTGGATCCTAACTCTGCACAACACCAACACCTAGATTTATCTTTCTAAAATATGGTTTTAATCATTCTTTTACAAGTTTACAAATGTTGTATTCAATACCTCTATTGGATAATCTTGGACAAGTTAGTTAATCAATACGCCTCTGTTTATTTAGCTATAAAATGGGAATGATAGCAGTACTTACCTCATTGGGTTATTGTGAAAAGTGAGTTAATAATTTTAAAGCACTTGGAACAGTAAGCGCTTTATATGTATTTGTTAAATGAATAAATATCTTTCCCATTGTTTTTTGCTGGTACTTAAAGTGTTCACTTTGAGAAAAACTCATTCCTTGGGGTTTAGGCATTGTATGCCCTTTTCAAACGATTATATTCAGAAATATTTGACCAATATTTTATCAACGAATACACGTTTCTAAAAAATATATTTTTAATAGCAAAAGATTGAAGGCAACCTCATGTCTGTTAGTAGAAAAAGTAATGTTTAATAAAAGATGAAGTCCTACTATAAAAAACTATGGAGACAAAGGTAAATTTGTAGATAAAAGATATATTTGACATAGAAGGATGGCCATAACATATTGAGTGAAAAAAGCAAATTGAGGAATAAGAGATGCACATTCCTTTCAGGAAGAATAGGAAAAAACACATGAAGCTGTAAGCAGAGGACAGTCTCTGTTATGAAATGAGACTGTATGACCTTCCTACAGTGAACATGTGTTGATTTTGTAATTAAAACTAAGTAAAAACAAATGAATGAGAAAAAAAAACTTTTAAAAAGTTTAAAATTTCCTCATCTCTTGGAAAACTCACTTATCAAAAGATAATCCAGGTTTTTATCTGCCCTGAATGAAAATACTGGTGAGTTTGGGGTTGGTGAGGAGTCAAATGCTACGATTTGCTCCGAAACCTCTATCCCACTAAAGACAGCTTTAAGCACCTTGCAGGTTAGTCTCAAATGTTACGTCTTTATTTTTTACCTGAGAAAGAGGCATCATCAAACATTTCTACTTTATCCATTAATCCAAAGACCATTAATGTAATTACCTGGGAAATTCTAATTTAATGAGACACAAAATCTTCCATTTTAAGCGTTGATGAGGATTAAGGGAATAGCTACCCTTTTCAACAAACAAATCTCAGACTCTCTGAGGCAAAAAAATCTTCATGTAGAAGACTGAATTTTCTCATCTTTTTCATAAACACTTCCACTACCAAGAAAGAACTCAGGCAGTTGTAAATAAAGTTCGGCCACACCTGAAAAATCCATTCTTCAGTTGTTCCTATATGCCCAGACTCAAAGGGTTTGGGGTTTGTAAATAAAAGGTGGCCTACTGTAAGGAGGGGCAAGAGTAAACAATCTCAAAGAAATTAATTACACGGTGCATTTAAACTATCCAGGCACCTGCTTTGCCTACAAAAACTGCCTGTTGTTTTCATCACTGGGCCTCAGGAAACTAGGCCCTAGCCACCACCTGGTGACGCTGATAACGCGCAATGTCTCTCAGCTGCAGCAATTAGAAAGGCCGGGCAGTCTCCTTTAAGAAGCTGACTCACGTGGACGCCGTGTTGTGTGCTCTCAGCTGGGAAGGGGGTGGATCTCAGGTCTCTCCACATTGGCTGCGTCTGGAGAGGGGGCAGAGTTAGCCTCTTTGATTGGCTGTCCGAGTCCCGGGCGTTGGGTCAGGGGCGGGGCGAGCTGCAGGGAGATTGCCCTGGGTCTGCAGCTTCTGGGAGGGGTGGGCCGAGACGCAAAGGGGAGCGGGAGTGGGGGAGGGTGAGCCAGAGAAGGGGCGGGGCCCAGCGGAAAGGGCAGGGTGCCGGGGAGAGGGCAGGGTCTAGAAATGATGGGCGTTCTGGGCCAACCGGGAGAGCCGACTGTTCGAGGGGCGGGGCTATGACGGGTGATTGACGCTGAGGCCCAACCAGGGAGAGGCGGGGCCAAGGCCAGGGCCTGACTAAACCTGGAGACTCCGCTGGCTGAGGGGGCTTCATTTCAGCTGAGGATCGAAGAGCCGCTGGCGGCCGTGGATCTTACAGCCGCTCGGGGTGAGTGCGGCGGTCGGGGGCTGGATTCGGGGCCCGAGGGGGGCTGAGTCGCCCCTCCGGGTCAGCTGCTTCGAAACACTCGGGATCGGCCCGGGGCGGGAGGCCCAGGCAGGAAGTGCCTTTTCCTCCCCGCGCTCCCTCCGGGGTCCCAGCGCGGCCGACCCCCGCCCCTCTGGGCGGGCTTCGGTGCCGGGGCTGCGGGCTGACTAGCTGGCCTGTTTCCTCTTTGTGAGGCCCAGGCGCGGCGGCCGCCGTCAGCCCGCCCCCGCCGCGCAACCGGGGCAACCGGCGCAACCGCAACAGACGCGACCTCCATCTCGGCGCCCGCGCTTTCCCGCCCCGGCGCAGCCTCGAAGGCCTTGTACATCGCGGCCGGGGCTTCCGGCGCCCCTCCGCAGGCAGTTTGGCCGGCTACCCCGTCGCCTGGGCTGCCCCGCCCCCACGGGCCGCGTCCCCGCCGCAGTGTCGGGGGCGCGCCCCGGACTCCGCGCCGCCGCGGTCTCCGCTGGGGCCTGCGCCCACGGCCCCGAGGTGAAGTCCGAACTCGACTCCGAGATGTGCGGCGTTAATAACGCCACGGCGTGGCCTGTCCTTCAAAGGGGCCACATCCCCTTTCTGTTGGCACTGGCCATGGGCGGGGGTCGGCGTTGGCTTTTGTTTGCTGCCCCCCAAAGGCTGGATGCCCGCCACCCTGCCCTCTTGCACCCCAGGAGATCCCCGGGCCGAGGGAGGAGTACGCTAGACGGAGGGCGTAGCGCAACTGCTGGGCTGATGTCGGGCGGCCGGGGCCGCGGGGCCGCCCGCTCAGCTGTTTCCGGCCCGTGTTTGTTGTGCCGGAGGAGGCCCGGCCGCGCCGCGCTCGGGCCCCGGCCCCTCCCGATTGGCCCGCGGCGTCACGTGCCGGCAATCAGCTGGGGCCAGCCGGGGCTGCGGGGCGTGGGTGGCTGCGGCGGTGCTTGCCGGCGCTGGGGGTCGCGCGGCCGCCTGCTGCCCTACGACGAACAGCATCCTTGCTTTCCTTGTCGGTGGGGCGTATGCGCGCCCTGGCCACCCCTTTATTCTGCACTCATAGGTAGGACAATGAGTATTCCGGACAGCGGGAGTTGGAAAATTGGAATACTACAGAGATCTGTTTAATCCCGACACCGATTAATCTCCCCTTGCACGGAGAGTCTGGGAAGGTGTACAGCTCATTTATTTTTAAATTTTTTCTGTTTACAGAGCCCTGTTGGTAATCTGAGGATTTTTATTTCAGATCTCCTTGACAGATGGAAAACCTGAAGTAACCTCAGGCTAACCTTGTGTTTTGGGGAAATTAGACTTGCTGCTGAAGTAACTGGGGGTAATAGGGTATTAGCTAATCTTGCACAGTCGCGTATGCAGTGTTGCAGCTGTGTTCCAACAAAAGACGAACCAAAATGCATGAAGTGTGTCCAGGGTACATATTTGTGCCAGATGTGAAGTGTCTTGGTGGAATCTTTCC